AAAAAAAAAAAAAAAAAAAAAAAAAAAAAAACTGAAACTGATAATCTCTCATGAATCAAGGGACTTTAAGTCACAAACAAATCAACACCATTCAGTCAAAATCTATGGTTATCAATGAAACAAATTTGCAACTTATGCAAAAACAAATTACACAAGTCACCAAAATGGGTTATGAATAAAGGAATCTGAATATTATTCTAATAGCAATGAAACCAAATCTCTCCCTTTTCTCACCCTAAATACTTCCCCTCAGTTTCATCTGCCCAGTTACCATAACCTGTTCCTCTGTTTTATTTTTTATTTTTTTCCTTTTTTTCATCTTCCCGGCATAATCACTAACCTCAAGAAAAAAGCAAGGGTGAGATTTCGAAAAAGCAAACTCTATACACACACCTAAAAAGAACAAAATTATAACAACGATGATAAGAGAAGAAAAATAACTGGTGGTTTTTATGAGAAGGCTATATTATACTATGTATTGGTGTCTCCTGAGTTGAATCCACATGCTTTTATCGAGAAAACAGGCTGCCCCTGGAAAGAACTCCGGTTATCCAAATGAGAGTCGAGGAAAAGAACAATAACTGTGATGTCATCGTGAAAATGTCTTCTCACCCCTCGATCGATCTTTCTCAGGTCAGAATATCTCATCTCTCTCTTCTTCGCCGCTTCGTGTATGGCCGCTTTCACTAGTTTCCTTGCAATGCCCTGAATAAAAAGAAAAGAGAAATTAATCTTGTTCAATGTACAATTTTTCTAAACTGACATCAGAAGAAGAAGAGAATCCGAATATTACATACAGTTACGAAACTCCATCTCAGATTTTTTAGTCTAATTACACCCCACAAAAAAAAAAAATAGAAAAACTAAAAGAAAAGGAAGAATAATCATCTGTTATGCTCAAATCCGGAAGTCCTACATTCTTCGGCAATTTAATGAGGTGAAAAGAATAAATTTTCAAATTCAAGCGGGAGGGAAAGACTTTAAGGGAGTGTTTGTTTATAAATTTATTCAATTCATATTCAAAATCTAACTCAACTCCACTATCTTCAATATTATTAATATTAATATAATTAAATTATACCAAACAACCATTCTTACACATCACATCAATTTTAATTCATTGTTCATTCACTAATCTATTTTTAACTAACCAACACTTTATATCATCTTTCTCTACTTTTGTATCAAATCAACTTTAATTATTTTATTTTAAATATTATATTAATGTAACCTCCACTAACAACTAACCATACCAACTTTTTCAAAATTAACTCTAGTTACCAAAAAAAAACTCTTTTTGAGCGGTATATTTGAATTCAAGCACGCCCCTAAGTGAATGGACAAAAAAAATCATACATTGCGTGGAGAACTGTGAACAAGCTCGACTGCCTCTTGATTGCTCAGGTGTTCCCACAGCCCATCCGAAGCAAATATAAGAAATTGATCCTCTGGATAAAGCTTTTGAACGTGTATGGATGGCTCGGCCAATAGAATCGGTTTCTCAAAAGGTTCGGGAAGTCTGAATTTCGGTAACAAAGGCACTCTATTGAATTCGGCTTTCTTTAAGTAAGCATCACCTATTGATCTTGACACCTTACATGGGAATATATGATCAGCAACATTAGTCGAAAGAAAATCAAGGCACAGCAGTAAGCAAGTGACTCATTAAGCATGCAGTTCATGTAACTAAAGGGATTATTAAAAAAAAATAAAAAAAAAACTACCCTTGTCGTTTAGCCTAATTACGAAAATTACAAATAACTTATAGGTCTTTGATTCCATTTCATAAAAAGGATAACAACAAAAAACTCCCCCTGAGGTTTAGGTAAATACCAAAGTTAAAAGACGAAAAATAACTTGGTAGGTTTTAAAATTACACATAACCATTGAGCCTTGAAAATTGAGGACACCGTTGTAATATTTTCATATGAATATAAGATTTTTTTGAAACTTTTATTTTTGGTGGGTTATAAGGGTAAATCTGTAAGACTAATCAAAATCGTGGTTTAAAATTCCCAATGAGTTATTTGTAAGTACCAAAACTTCGGGTGTTTTTGTAATTATCCATTGCGCAAAGTTTCACTCTAAAGAGAGGGTAGGGAATTATTTAAGTAGGAAACCGAGACAAACTGAAGCAGAAGTTTCTAAGACCTTGAGGAGATACTGGCAATTTCGATGGTTAATTAAACTAAAACCTCAGCTAGCAGCTTTTGTAATTATCAAAATAGATATAGTTCAAACTTCTTATATTATAAGCAAAAATCGATGGTTAATTAATTAAACCAAAACATCAGCAATTTAGATGGTTAATTAAACTAAGGATATAGTTCAAACTTTGTATATTTTAAGCAAATTGGAGAGTTACAATACAAGAAGATCCCCACTAGAAAAAAGGAGAAATTGAGGCTAAGAAAAAACGACAAACTCACCTGAATAATACCTTTCACACGCCAAACATTATGCTTTAAAACAACAATGTGAGGATCTTCAGGGTGCAACAACTGCAACTCATCTCGAACAGACTTAAAACTCGCATTGTGCTCGTCCGATAACTGAATTGCCTTAAGCTCTTTTTCACCTTTATCCACTCTGCCCAAAACAGCCCTCGAATCACCAGCATTCGCAACGTACAACACGCCATTGCATATAACGCCCACCAAACAGCACGAACCCACTGAAGCAATTTGCGGTCTATTCACCCATTGCTTTTTGACCAACGAAAGGAATTCTTCCTCGGTTGCCAGATAAGCGTTTTTTATGACATCGGCTGCCATTTCATGATTTTCTGACGTAAATTCTGCATCATGAATAGCTGTCAAGTCAGTAAACATACACATTATTAGCATATAAAAAAAGTTGAAAACATAAATTGATAAATTCCCAGAAATGACTGACATAATGCAGTATGCCTCGAATGTCTATCATCTGAATTAAGCATATCAAAACTAACTTAAGCAATTTGCTATCTCGTATTCATGCAGCAGCACAGCAGGAATGAAAGAAAACAAAACGATGGATCAAATTAGTGTACAGAAAAACATACAATCATAGACAGCTATTAGTTTCTGCACTCTTACACTGATGGAATCACCTTTCAAATCCTATATTTTCAAGCAGTGTGACTTTATCTATCAAGGCAAAGGCATCCTAAACCCCAATCTTGTATAAGGAAAAAAAAAATCTCGAAATATTTATAGAATATTTTAAGCGTGCTTGATCTAACACAGTCTATCACAACAAATGAAGCCAACATCAATCAAACAGTCCATAGAAGTTCAAAAATCACAATATCCATCTAAAAGTAATGCAATCCACTGAATAAATGTAAAGGATACAGAAGAAAAGATTATTCAGAAACAAACCAAATGCTTACTCTTCATATTTTCAAAAAGGCAGCCGTTTATAAACCGAGAAGCTTCCGGACCAGCATGCCCATCATAAATCCCGACAAACGTCCCTTGAGGCCCATATTCGACGGAGCTCATTGGCCCAGATTCCAGTTGACTATGATCTTCCATCACATTATTAGCTTGAATCACTGCCATCGAAAATTCCCCGTAAATGTGATTCCCTAAATCTTTGTACCACCACAAACCATCCACACGGCCGTTAAGATCATCTCCGCTGTTGCTGCCATTTTGACCTTGATTATCCACTGAGGGCTTCCAGCAAGGGGTCACCAATTTTCTCCATGTCGTGGTCACCATTGCCTTCTTCAGAACCCCAAAACAAGAGGGATTTTTTTTTTTTTTTTAATCAATTTGTTTCCTTTTGTCTTCAAACAAAGGAACTCTCAATCACAATTTCGCACGAAAGCTTCACAGGTTTCAAAATTTCCAACACCACCCAACAGAAGAGTTTTGATCTTCTTCGTACCCCAATTTCAAAACCCACATCACAAGATTTCCCAAGTATTTATACAATCTCCGAACAATGTGGGCACCATCAATCTGCACTCGGAGCAAAAAAAATTAAAAAAAAAAAAAAATCAAGAAAACAACTCAATCAATGCATTACGCACAAGAAAAAAAACACCAAAATTCAACGAAAAAAAATCCAAACAAAAGCAACATATTTGCATATAAACCATGAACCGTTTCCAAATCCAAATTGAAACAGAAAATTAAAATAGAAAACAAAGAAAAGAGGTGACCTAAAATCACATCTCAACAATGGGGGCGAAGGATGAACATACCCATCTCAAGATCGTCGAATCACAGAATTAAACGTTTTCAGGCGGGCGAAAATTGGGTCCTTTCACGGTGTTGTTTGCGACCCAAGAAAATCAAGAGATTGTGACAGAGAGAGAGAGAGAGCGAGAGAGAGAGAGAGAGAGAGAGAGGCATACAATATATGAGAACGAAATTCCAAAGGGCTTTCCTTTTGTTGCTGGTTTTCAGGGTTGGGTTCTTTTTGGGAAATTCATTGATGGCAATTTTGTAATTGATGATCTTTATAGAAAGTAAAAGAAATTCATTCCGACTTTGACCCAAAACAAACCATCATTTTAGCCAACTTTTTCTCATCTCTTTGCCTTTTTTATTTTCTATTTATTATATTCTAAAAAATATTAATTAATTTATTACTACAATTACAAATAAATAATCTTTTCTTTATTAGCAATTTCCTTCAAATTTATATTTAATCAAATTGGTATATTATAAAAATTAAAATTACTCACTGCTTAACATGATATAAGACAACGATCTTATAAAGTCTGATGATAATTCTAGACATGGCCCGCCGTCCCGGCACTGGCATCGGCACTGGACCAATCCCGGTCCAAAAAGCTACGGTTCTGAGAAGCGGGACCGTGCCCTTGCAGTTTGGTCTCGATTCACACTTTTTTTTTTTTTTTTGGCCGAGATAGGACCTGTTCATGGGCCCGACCCTTCATTTTTTGCGGGCCAATCAAAGATCACCCATGGGAGACCCGCCGGTCAGTTGACTGGTTATCTCTAGATTATTCCATGGGATTTTAGACTTCAAACAAGTGAGATAAATAAAGGAAATAGTAATTGGTCAAAATGATTATATAAAAATTTCCCAATAAGAAAATAACGAAGGGCTCCAACAAGATTACAAGAAAAAAAAGATAAATAATTCGGTCCATTCAACTTTTCTAAAAGTTCGACTTAATTATTTTAGTTTCAACATTTCGGTCGGTTCGATCAAACCAACCGATGAACAACTCTAAGTTGCACGGTGACATTTTGATAAATTTTGGTGAAATTAAGAATCAGTTGAACCGATCGATGAACAACTATGTGATTTAGTAAAAATAAAATGGAAGTTTTAATGTGTATTTATCACGCAATATTGTGCACTTTCTTTATCATTATTGTGCATTTATTGTACTTTTGTAAATTGTGTAGTACTACATTTTACCCATTAATTAAATTAAAATTTATCTTTTTTTAGAATTTCAACTATGTCCCTTGGACTTATCAAATTATCAAATGGAGTCTCCAACTCTTGAAACAAAATCTGGCTCGACCTCCACTATTACTACAAATACAATTTCCTTCAGTAGCAACCGCCCGTTATCTGCCCCTCCTCTCGCCGCCGACATGTTCTACACCGTCGAAACCAAAATTTTCGGCAGATAGAGCGGGTGGCGGAGGTTGTGATGGTGACTGATGGCCGCGTTTTTGAAGACAACTCTTTCGCGACGTGGAAACAATTTTATGATATTTTGTAATGTGAATACAATTTTCTGATATATTGCATCCATTCTTATTTTTTATTTAATAAATGCCAACCACCAAGAAAATTAAATTGATAGAGTTTTAAATTAGATATTGCAAATTTATGTATACAATAAAAATCCATCATTACTTTTAGTTATGATCTCTTATCATTAACGAGCATTTTGTAAGGAAAAAAAAGATAAAACAAAGATACATTTTTTTTTTTGATAATTTACATTAATACTGACTAATAATCCATATTCATTTACTTATACATTTTTAACTGTCAATTTGAATTATTATTTTACTGTTTTTATATAATATCAAGTTTAATCACTAACTAATAATCCATATTCATTTTCTTATACCTTTTTTAACTGTCAATTTATAATTATTATTTTACTATTTTTATTTTTTGTTACACAATGTAGTGTTTTGAATACAACGGGAACCTATGAACTGACTGAAATGTTCAGTTCGTACAAGAAGAACTAAAACAAAATAAAATTTACAACTCAAATGCGGACAGATTGAAAGCCGAGGCGATTGAAATCTTTCCGCAAGACAAATACGCTCTGTATAGTGCTGACGGGTATGTGTGTAATGTCCCCAAAGATACAACGGCAATACACTCTGAAGCTGTAGCACACCAGCCTTCAGAGTTCCAGCGAACGAAATCGAAGACGAGAACTGAGCACTATAATATGATGCGTGAGGCTTTGAGAGTATTCAGATTGCATGAAAATGTTGTATCACTTTTCTCTGCAGCTCTATGTTCTATTTACAGGATTTCCACCTCTTGAGGGAATGTAAACAGTCATGTCTGCCACTTAAGACAGAGATAAATGGGCAAAAACGTTTTAGGTGTTATTACACCATTAACCAGGTGTTACTATACCATTAATCAGGTGTTAACACCATTAACCGACCATTAACATTTCACCTGAACAGTTAGGTGTCCAGGTTCATTGTACCTAGAGAGGTATCACTCGGGTTGGGTCAAAACCCGAGTCCAAATCCAACTATAATTGGATTTTTCAGTTGGGCCTAAAGTTGCAAATAAATTTGCAGCAAAAAGATATATAGTGATTGGGCCCAAGGCCCAAGGCCGCCCAAGTCCAGCCCAAAGTCCAATTGCCAAGAACCAAGGCCCGTCGACGCGTGTGGCCGAAAACAACACCAACACTTGGTGCATAGCTTTGTGCTTGTTGTAACATCTCCAACTCTCTTTATTATAATAAAGAGAGTTAAACTCATTTAAGAGTCCAATGTGGGAGTGACTCTTGGCCCTTCAAATCCCACAACCAACATTTTACGTGCCATTTTATGGCTAATTTTAACAATTTATTTCTCACTCACCGGAAATCAGTTTTGAGAAAATAAATATACCACGAGTATCTACTCGGAACGTAGAATTTTTCTACAATATTTAATTCAACTCAAATTAAATATTTAGCCATAAAAAATCCAGTCAAACCAGGTCAAACTCAAGTTTTATAACTGATTTTTCCAACACTTTTTATATAATATCAAAATCTATCATTACATTTTAACTCGTATTTATTCATAAATTTAAAACTAAAATCCAAAATTGTGTACTCTAATAAAACTTTGCAATCTTAATTTGCTTTAACCAATAAATCAAATATATTATTGGAAAATGCTACGGTCAACTATGGAATTACTCCGTCGGGGTCTGTAATCGTTAGATTATCATGTTACCGTCAGGGATAGTTGTTCTAACGGTTACAAACCCCACGGAATGATACTGTAACAAGACGATAGTATCACCCATATATTATTATTAATTTTTTTTTTCAATGGTACCCAAATTTTGAAAAAAAAAAAAAATGGAAATACTGTTTGACAGCATTTATAAATCAGATACAGGCCCCAGATTCATAGAAAAAGAATTGATCTTTGCGATTGATTTTTGCCTGCAAATTGCGATTTTCACTCCATATAATAGACCATACTCTCATCACATGTCATTGCCCTCTCTTCGACGGTAAACTCGCACTCTTTCCATATGTGATTACGACCCTCATCAACTCACATTCCCTTTTACTGTGTAAAAAGCTGCTTATTATTGAGTGAGTTATGGCTGAGGGCCTCACAAGAAAATAAAGAGGACCCATTTCCAGTTTATTGACCTGTGCGTGCCGGATTTGCTTCTTTTGATTTTTTTGCAGAAGATTTAGGTAGGGGGAGGTGAGTGAGGCGGATCAATCGGGGCTCTTCAGAGTTTCTAAAAATAGAAGTGAAGAAAAGAAGTTATCTTTGGCCTTTTTCTTGTCTATTTTGTTTTCTCAGATATTGTCTGTGATGATGAACGGCAAAGGGCTGAGCCCGGCGCCTGTGATTTCTGCTGATCACAAGAGGTGATGGCCGTTTTTTACTTGTCCTGCATTTGTCCTTCATTTTAATCTGTCAATGCTGTGATTAACCTATGAGGAAGAGGGGTTATGTGTTTACAATTATTTTCTGTTATTACTTATTTTTATAAATTATCTCAAAAGAGAAAAAAAAAAGAAGCTGATTTTATAAGTCTTGTTCTGCCGACAGTTGAAAAAATTCATGCTTGAAGCATATCTGTTGACAGTGAATTGGGATTTTGTGAGTGATGGGCTCTGGTAATGATTTGAGATAAGTTGTTTTGTAGGAGGGTTTTGTGGAATACCTAGTTTTCATAAGGTGTCTGAGTTTGTCGATTGAGTGACTCGTTTTGTTTTAGATTAATCGACCAATACTTCTGGCATTCCTTTCATCTATTGAAGAAATCATACTCGTTCGGCTGGTTGTTAATTAAAGCCGATAGGTGAGTGAAGGCCATTATTGTCTTCCTTGTAATGAAACATACAACTTAGCTGGTAAATGGAACATTGTAAATCTAAATTAGGTCCTACAAAAAAATGCTAATAGGCTAATCCTAATGAACTATGGAAGGTAATATTATTGTTTAGTAATAGGTGCCGAAGTTGAGAGCTATCTCGGATGATTGGAATAAAGATCATCACAAATTTTATGAATGTCAGTCCAAAAGAAATATGGAGTAATTTTTGCATCACCTATGACTGACTGAGGCTTTTGTCCATTGCAAATGGAGCTGGAAGAGTCATTGTTGACAATTCTCTTGGCATAGTGCTAATAATGGACTAGATCAAAATGGCCCAATTAAATTCTAGTGCTTCTTCTATTAGTGAAGTTTCTAGAAAAAAAATATATCAAACGACGCAATGCACCTTGAGTCGCTACGGAAACAACCTCCTTGTATAATTACAAGGGTAAGGTCTGCGTACAACTGACCCCCAGACCCCAACCAGTTGGGAATATACTGGGTATGTTGTTGTTGTTGTTGTTGTATGACTAGCTGAGGCTTTCAAAGATCAGATAAAAAGTAGGAAGAAGCTAGGATTTGCAATACTCTTCTTAAGTTTCCGTTTTTGACTTCAAAGAAGTAGTATGAAACAAAATCAAATGTGGCTAGTTCAAATTAATTTTTTATTTTCTGCATATTCCTTGATATTCCTATTATTTCTATAAATTAACCTTTTTTGTTTCTTCTGCATATTCCTCGAGATCACTATTAGTAAATTTTGTCTTTATTTTGTATTTTTTAGCCGAAGATTGAACTCAAAAATAATTATTCTGACTTCTCTAGTGAATTTTGAACTTGCTTGAACAGGGATGCTTATGGGTTTGCAGTAAGACCTCAACACTTGCAAAGATACCGGGAATATGCAAGTATATACAAGGTTCTCATGTCCTCTTAAGTCTTAATGAGTGCCCCTTTTTTCATTCAAGAATTTTTGCGTTTTTTTATAGGATTCAGTGCCATAATGTATCACCCACCTCTTGTTCTTTGTGTAATATGAGAATTGCTATAGTATTTTGACTATTTTCATCTGATGCCCCTTCAGGAAGAAGAGGAGGAGAGGTCGAATAGGTGGAAGAACTTTCTAGAAAGACACCCTGAATCTGGTGCTGTGAGTGAGCTATCTGACGACAATAATGTTGTAAAGTCAAATGTTAAACCATCTAATGCAACAAGCGGCGATAGTTCGAGTGAAGATTGTAAAGAGATGCAATCTAAAGTTCATCACATGCAGATATGGATGGAGGTCAGGTCATCTCTACGGGCTGTAGAGGATATGATGAGTTCTCGTGTGAAGAAAAAAGTTGCCTTATCAAAGAATGAGACTCGGTCTGAACCGGGACTGAGAAATGAACTTCCTTCTATTGAAGAAGCCCCGCCCGGAAAAGGGGCATCAGAAGAAGATTCCGATGAAGAGTTCTTTGATTTAGAGAGATCAGAATCGGATCCAGTTCAAGAGATCCTCTCGACAGACGGTATTTTTCCCGTTTTGGACACACATTCAGAAGCTAATATTCTTCCTTGGACGCAAGAACTGGAATGTCTTGTTCAAGGTGGGGTTCCAATGGAACTGAGGGGAGAGGTAAATAGCATGTTGTTATGAAATCTTTTGCTGTTTTAGTTTTTACTATGTGAAGTTTCTCTCTCTCTCTCCTTTTTTTTTTATGTAATATTTATGTTTTTGAATTACAGCTATGGCAAGCCTTTGTTGGTGTTAGAGCACGCAGAGTGGAGAATTACTATCAGAATTTGCTTTCTCCGGATAATAATGTAGAAAAGAAAAATACAGAGTCAGGGGATAAAAATCACGAACCGAATGTGGAGTCTGTCAGGATACCTGAAAAATGGAAAACCCAGATTGAGAAGGTTATTTGTTTGTTAAATTCACAAATGAAGTCACTTGGATTGCACTTGGATTGAGAGACTTGACAGTCAAAAGATTTCAAGTCTGTGTTCTGATATCTTGATTTAAATTTCTTCATTATATTTATTTACTGATTGTCATTATTTATGTTTTTTTAGGTGTAATGTGGATTATGAAGATTTTAAATCCATTACAAGTTCTCCCAATAGATATTTAACCTTTCTTGTTGGGTAACACAGGATTTGCCTCGAACTTTTCCCGGTCATCCTGCTTTAGATGAGGATGGTAGGAATGCTTTAAGACGGTTACTGACTGCATATGCTCGGCATAATCCGTCTGTTGGATATTGCCAGGTATTTCTAATTACATGATAATATCTTGAGATATGATTGTTTATATATAGCCCACTGGCATGTGATTTTGATTTTTCAGCATGAGTTGTTTTTGTAGTGAAATTATTTTCTTTATCTTCTCAAAATGTGCATACTTTCAGTTAAAAATGTCGTACTTAAAAAACAACATAAACAAAAACGTATGACATCTGATAGTAGAGATATGCATTTTTGTTCCAATAGTATGACGGGTTGATTGACGGTTAGCTGCCTCACGCAAGTTTGTGCTTGGATAAAAGCACTTTATTGCTAAATATTTCATTTCACACTTCATTGTGTTAGATGTAAACATTTGATAAGTTTCTGGAATATCTATGCAGGCAATGAACTTCTTTGCAGGCTTGTTATTGCTACTGATGCCAGAGGAAAATGCATTTTGGTTGGTTGAGTTCTTTGTTCGATAGTAGCCTTACTATTTGCCTTTTTTTTTTTTCATTCATTAGTAGTACTATACACCATAGTCTCAAATTCCTGAGATATTTGTCAACGGCAGAAATGGGAAATAAAGTAATGTAATTGTTTACATATTTGATGGGTCCTTAAATGTTATTAGACTAGACAGAATCTAACGGATTCCTCGACTTACAGGACTCTAATAGGCATTCTAGATGACTATTTTGATGGATATTATACCGAAGAAATGATAGAATCTCAGGTAAACTTGGATTTCATTTACGAGCTGTTCTTTTACATCCACCTTGACATGTGCCTTTGATCAAATGGTGTAACATAATTTAAATTCGTTTATGTGTGCTGCTCTGTCTTGGCAGGTTGATCAGCTTGTTCTTGAGGAGTTGGTTCGCGAAAGATTCCCAAAACTGGGTTAGTTTCTCTATAGTTGTATTATTATTTTTATCATAAATCCTGTTCCTAACTTAAGCTTTGTTTGTGCCACAGTCAATCATCTTGATTACCTAGGAGTGCAGGTAGCATGGGTGACTGGGCCATGGCTTCTCACAATTTTTGTGAATATGCTTCCATGGGAAAGCGGTCAGTTTTTTTATGCCATTTTTTGTGGATATGGATTTGATTGATTTTTTTGCTAACCATGGTTAACTTTTTTTTTAAAAAAAATGGTATGGTTAGTTGTTAGTGAGATTGTGAGTTTATATTAAAATAATATTTAAAATAAAATAATTAAAATTGATTTGATGTAAAAGTAGGAGAGAGATGATGTGAAGTGATGGTTAATTAAAATTATATGAGTTAATGAATAGTGAATTAAACTCGATGTTGTGTTTAAGAACGATTGTTTGATATTATTTAGTTATATTGAAAATATGAAGGATAGTGGGGGTCAAGTTAAAAGTTGAGTTAACGAAAGTGACTCATTTAAAAATGATTAGTTTTTTCCAATCAAATCCATATCCAATCACACCCTTAACCTGGTATTTTTTACTCTGGAGGTTCTTTTTCTTTTCACATTTATTATTTATTTATGTTTAATCTGCCCTTTTTCAGTTCTTAGAGTCTGGGATGTGCTTCTCTTCGAAGGGAATCGAGTAATGCTTTTCCGGACAGCACTTGCTTTAATGGAACTATATGGTACTGCTTCGGCCATAAAAGCTTAATTTTGTTTCGACGAGTTTTTTCAATCAAAGTTAAAAAAAAAAAAAACTAATAATATGCATCCACGCCATTTTTTTTATTTTTTGGCTCTTTCACCGAACGAGGCTTATCTTTGCTCAGCTCTTGTGTAGGGCCCGCATTAGTTACGACTAAAGATGCTGGAGATGCAGTCACGCTGCTTCAATCCTTAGCTGGCTCGACTTTCGATAGTAGTCAACTTGTCTTGACGGCTTGTATGGCTTTCCAGAATGTTCAAGAAAATCTATTAAGAGAACTAAGAGATAAACACCGACCAGCTGTCATGGATTCATTGAAGGAAAGAGCAAAAGGAGTGACGAAGGATTCACAAGGCCTGGCTTCTAAATTGTATAGTTTTAGTAAGGACTCAGGTTCGGTTATGATGGGGAGTGATAAATCGAGCATAGTTAGCATGCCTTTGAATGGTAATGTGGAGATCGATTCTGCTAAAGATCTTGAAGAGCAGGTATATGTTATGTTGCTGCTTGGATATAAGATATTTTGATTTTGTTTAGATTTTTTTGTTTGGTATGGTTAATTTTGAAAAAAAGTGATATGGTTAGTTGTTAGTGGAACTTTGAGTTTCTATTAAAACAATATTTAAAATAAAATAATTAAAATTGATTTGATGTAAAAGTAAAAGAGAGATGAGTGACGTGAAGTGATGATTAGCTAAAATTATGTGAGTGGATGAATAGTGAATTAAAGATGATGTAATGTGTAAGAATGGTTGAGTGCTATTATTTCTATTTTGCTTGATATATCTTTCTATTTTGTTCGTTTGTTGTTTGAAAGCAAAGCTATATTTGTCCAACTAACTTGTAAGCCGTTTATTATCTTCAGGTAGTTTGGCTTAAGGTCGAGCTATGCAAGCTCCTTGAGGAGAAAAGATCTGCTGAGATTAGGTGAACACATTTGTGGCTTGATCGAGTTTCTTAAATCTTTTTCACTGTGTGATTTTTTTTTTTTTTACCTTCTGGCTTT